TGCTCGTCGTGAGAGTTTGTAGGTGGGTGTTTGTCTATGTTTATGGTATTGGATTTTGCAGGAGTGTGTTTCGTGTCATTTAACCCGTGCTGCTTGTCTGTGGTTGTTTGTGTCTTCCCCTTTGCAGGTGGTGCTGATGACACAAGAGGTGCAGAGCTTCCGCTTTACAGGCATTCGAGAGGCCTGCGAGCCTTCGATACTGCGGGACTTCTCTGCCCCGGTTAATCTGGTTTATGAACAGACGGTGGATCAGCTTGCCTTCTTGGCGGCGTACGATACGGATCCCGTCAACAAATGGAGAGCTGTCCAGAACCTCGCAACGCGAGTCATTCTGGGTAGAGTTAAAAATGCAAGGAGAGACAGGAACATAGATGCACTCCCGGCTCTAGACAAGGCGTTCCTTAACGCGTTCAGCGCTGTTCTCATGGACTCCGGGAGCGACAAGAACGTCAAAGTCAGCAGCGAAAATCACCAAACAAAGGGCCTAGGGTTTAGGGTTTAGGGTTTAGGGTTTAGGGTTTAGGCTCCGGTGTACGAGGGGTCACATGCACATTCCCGAGAGATCAGTTTGTGGCCTCAACTAGTGCAGACACCCCTGGTTAACATCTCGAGTTGTTGCGGAGAATCATATGCAATATATTTTGTTGTTAATAATACAAATATGCATGATGAGTGTACATAGATCTTTTGGTAGAATCGTACGTGTGTGCATATGTATAATTACAGATATGTCGTTTTAAATATAGGTAAGGATAATTCTTATGCTTGATTATGTTTGTTGGTGATCAGGGCCTGACTTTACGTCTGCCTGAGATAGCGGAATTGGAGAGCCATGTAGAGCCAGTGGACCCGGTGGCTCTGCACAGTGCTCGTTACTCCGTGATGCTCGATTTGGCGGCGGCGTTCAAGGCGGATATGCTTAATTTGTACAAAGACCTCACGGTGCACAGGGTTGAGATATTTGATCATCAAGATATGGGCAGGCGACGCCTCCGGAATGAAATCCTGTCCTACCTGTGCAGCGCCAGAGATCGCGAGGCCGCACTGCTTGCCTATCAGCACTTCCTTTCTGCAAAGTGCATGAGTGACAAGTTCTACGCCCTCAGGTGTCTATCCAGTATGCAGCAACCTGAAAGACAAAAGGCATTCGACCTGTTCTATGCAGAGGCAAAGGGTACGTCAGTAGTATGCGGGGTTGTGGACCTCCTTATTAGATGGATTTAAATAGAGCATCCATGTCGTTCACGGTGGAGCGTTGCAGCAACAGCAGCAGCTGCGACTGCTGCAGGTTCTGCTGGAAGTTGCACTTTTGCTGCTGCGGCTGCAATTGCTGCGCTTTATGTTTTGTTGTGTGCTAT